CCCGTACAGTGATCTAGGACACCAAGCCTTAGGAAGGTCCCAGAATAGCGAATAAATACCAGTCTCTGACTCAATCATTCCTCTGACCTAAGCTAGCAAAACAGGAGTGAGACACTTACCTTCATGGGACAAGTCCTTTTGTCACTGCTTCTCTGAGCTGCTGCTTCAAAGCAGTAAGCCACTCGCTTGCCAGGGGGCCAGTGAATGGGTGCTAATCTCTTCATGAAGTCCTCCAAGCTGATAACCCGGTGATATTCTAAGAGAGGTTCCAGTTTGAAGTATTCCTTGTAGGAAACATGCAGCTGTGAATGAGAGAATGAGATCTACTCATAGTGCAATTGGAAGTCAGTTCCAGCTAAATCTCTACTCAAACGAATAGAAAACACTGCGGTCTGTACCCGTTTATTCATTCAGTGATGGCAGGATGAACAGCTCAGGACATCTTATGATCCAAATAAACAAATGCTTTAGAATCCACAACTCTATAGAATTTGATGGGGGCAAACATGGCTATCTAGATAAGAACGGCCATACTGGGTCAGACCAAAGGTCCATCTAGCCCAGTATCCTGTCTTCCAACAGTGGCCAATGCCAGATGCCCCAGAGGTAATGAACAGAACAGGTAATCATTAAGTGATCCATCCCCTTTTACCCATTCCCAGCTTCTGGCAAACAGAGGCTAGGGACACCATCCCTGTCCATCCTGGCTAATAGCCATTGATGGACCTATCCTTCATGAACTTATCTAGTTATTTTTTGAACCCTGTTATAGTCTTGGCCTTCACAACATCCTCTGGCAAGGAGTTCCACAGGTTGACTGTGCGTTGTGTGAAGACATACTTCCTTTTGTTTGTTTTAAACCTGCTGCCTATTAATTTCATTTGGTGACCCCTAGTTCTTGTGTTACGAGGAGTAAATAACACTTCCTTATTTACTTTCTCCGCACCAGTCATGATTTTATAGACCTCTATCATATCCCCCCTTAGTCGTCTCTTCTCCAAGCTGAAAAGTCCAAGTCTTATTATTCTCTCCTCATATGGAAGCCGTTCCATAACCCTAATCATTTTTGTTGTCCTTTTCTGAACCTTGTCCAATTCCAATATATCTTTTTTGAGATGGGGCAACCACATTTGCACACAGTATTCAAGATGTGGGTGTACCATGGATTTATATAGAGGCAATATCATATTTTCTGTCTTATTATCTATCCCTTTCTTAATGATTCCCAACATTCTGTTCGCTTTTTTGACTGCCACTGCACATTGAGTGGATGTTTTCAGAGAACTATGCACAAAGACTGCAAGATCTCTTTCTTGAGTGGTAATAGCTAATTTAGACCCCATTATTTTATATGTACAGTTGGGATTCTGTTTTCCAATGTGTATTACTTTGCATTTATCAACATTGAGTTTCATCTGCCATTTTGTTGCCCAGTCATCCAGTTTTGTGAGATCCTTTTGTAGCTTTTTGCAGTCTGCCTGGGACTTAACTATCTTGAGTAGTTTTGTATCATCTGCAAATTTTGCCACCTCACTGTTTACCCCTTTTTCCAGATCATTTATGAATATGTTGAATAGAACTGGTACCAGTACAGACCCCGGGGGGCCACCACTATTTACCTCTCTCCATTCTGAAAACTGACCATTTATTCCTACCCTTTGTTTCCTATCTTTTAACCAGTTACCAATCCATGAGAGGACCTTCCCTTTTATCCCATGACAGTTTACTTTGCTTAAGAGCCTTTGGTGAGGGACCTTGTCAAAGGCTTTCTGAAAATCTAAGTACACCATATCCACTGGATCCCCCTTATCCACATGCTTGTTGACCCCCTCAAAAAAGTAGCAGATTCTATTAGTAGATTCTAGTAGATTGGTGAGGCATGATTTCCCTTTACAAAAACCATGTTGACTCTTCCTCAACAAATTATGTTCATCTATGTGTCTGACAATTTTGTTCTTTACTATAGTTTCAACCAGTTTGCCTGGTACTGAAGTCAGGTTAAGTGGCCTGTAATTGCCGGGATCACCTCTGGAGCCCTTTTAAAAAATTGGCATCACATTAGCTATCCTCCAGTCATTTGGTACAGAGGCTGATTTAAATGATAGGTTACAGATGACAGTTAGTAGTCCTGCAATTTCACATTTGAGTTCCTTCAGAACTCTTGGGTAAATACCATCTGGTGCTGGTGACTTATTACTGTTTAGTTTATCAATTTGTTCCGAAACCTCCTCTAATGACACCTCAATCTGCGACAGTTCCTCAGATTTGTCACCTAAAAAAAATGGCTCAGGTTTGGGAATTTCCCTCATATCCTGAGCTGTGAAGACCGATGCAAAAAATTCATTTAGTTTCTCTGCAATGCCTGATCATCCTTGAGGGCTCCTTTAGCATATCGATCGTCCAGTGGCTCCACTGGTTGTTTAGCAGACTTTCTTCTTCTGATATACTTAAAAATTTTTTTGCTATTACTTTTGGAGTCTTTGGCTAGCTGTTCTTCAAATTCTTTTTTGGCCTTCCTAATTATATTTTTACACTTCATTTGCCAGAATTTATGCTCTTTTCTATTTTCCTCACTAGGATTTAACTTCCACTTTTTAAAGGATGCCTTTTTGTCTCTCACTGCTTCTTTTACTTTGTTGATTAGCCACGGTGACACTTTTTTGGTTCTCTCTGTTTTTTAAGGCACTTTTTGGGTTTTCGTACTATGTTTTTTAAAAGTTTTAATCTAGAGATTAGAAGAGGGGACTTTAAGTCAGGACTCCTGGGTTCCCAGCTCCACCACTGGCATGCTGAGACCTTGAGACATAAAGAATAGGCACTTATATTTTTCTCCAATGCCCCTTACAAACAGTACCTGATTAAACCTTGTATAGCACATAAGTATTATCCCTATTTTACAGATGGGAAAGCTGTGTAAAGTTATTATGTAATTTATGTGGCTCAGTGTTTATAATGTGCTATGACATGTTCAGATGAAATGGACTATATAAAGGCAAAGCTACTCTAAAGAGAAAATAACCAGTGTGTACCCTTATCACCTCCTAATGGAGTCATCAAATGCAGCATCAACGTCCAGGTTGGCCTGTGAGAGGCACCCCTATGATCACTAGTTATCACCTTGACTTTTATAACCCATTTACAACAGGGTGATACTTTTATAAAAAGTAGCACTGGGCCCCTGTTACAAGGATGCAGAGTTCAGCAGCTGATACAAACCCCTCGGTAATAACGTTTTCCCATGACAACACTAACTACGTTAACTGGGGGACACATGGGACTTTTAAAAAAACAACCCATGAGATGCCATGTTTTTATTCACATTCAGTATCTTCGGTGCAAGAGAGCGTACTGGTGGTGAAAGGAGCTAACTTAATAGCCCCAAAGACTAAAATCCTTTGGGTATCCACGGAACAGGTTCAGTGCATGCAAACAACAGGGCAAGAATCCCCACACTGCCCTGGCAATGTGCCTTAGCTGGAGGGACTATTTCTACCAGCACGATGGAAATTCAGTCCCCACAATCCATTCAAATCTTGGCCCCTCTGCTGAATCTGCCAATAATGGGGTCAGTTAGTGCCAGCGGAGTCATGCAACATCTGTCCACTGGGAGCTAGTCTGAGATCACCAAACTCAGGAGTCCCTTTATATATCGTGCATCAGCACATCCTCTCTCTTCTAGAATGCAGCAGAGACTCTTTATTTTGTGTCTTGTACATCATGGAACACACTGTCAGTGCTTAATAAATAACAATACTAATGCTGAAGAGCCAAAAACCCAACTGGTTTTCACATTTCAAAGCCAACAACCAGAGCCATTATGTAAATATGCAAGTGGCCATATAGAAGCCTGTCTCCCTAGAATATCAGATTGTAAATTGTTTGGAGCAGAGACTATTTTTTTCCTTTATGCCTGTACAGCATTTAGCAGGTTTGGCCCCAGTTGTTATATTAAGTTGTGCGGAATGTATTTATCAGGAACATGTATGTAGCATTATAAACATACGTGGCACCACACCAGCAGCGAGCGGGACATGGTATAATTTGTAGAGAGCCCAACATCAAAGTATCGAGGGGCTGAACAGGACTTACATTAGTATAGGGAGGCCTGTGGTGTCGGTACTCGATCCAGGGAGGCACAGCCAGGGTACGATTCAGAGTCTTGGCAAACGCCAAGGAGCCCAGGAAATGATCAGCCTGGTTCCCAAATCTCCCTAAAAAAGTGTCAAGAGCTGGATTTATTGGCCAAATCAGGGATGCCCATGTTGCACAAAGACTCCCTACAACTCCATGCCCTCCCCCATCTCTGGGTCATCAAAAAAAGTGAAGTTTTTCAGGAATTACAGGGATCTGGGGGAGATCTGGGACCCACGGCAGGTGGAGGGTGGGATAAGAGAAGGGCCGGGGGGGAAGGGGTAGGGGGAAGGGTGATCCAAGGAGGGGCTGTTGGGTTGGGAGGAAGGAAGAGTGGGTGTGGGGAGCTGAGTCCCTGGGGGCTGAAAGTCTGATTGCAAGAGAAAAGAATGGACCGGTGTGTGTGTGTGTGCGGGGGCACTGGGAGGGAGCTCCGAAGGGGGAAATCGCGGGGGCGGGGCAGGATCTAGGACTGGGGACACAAGCGGGCTCTGGGGGGCCAGGAAAGGGGCCGCTGGGGTGGCTCCAGGGAGGGGCCCGGGAAGGGGGGCGCCACGGGGGTGCGGCTCTGGGGCGGGGCCCGCTGGGGGCAGGGGCCCTGGAAAGGGGCACACTGGGGGGGCCCTGCAGGGAGGGTCTCACCCATGCAGGGGCAATAGAGCAGGTAACCGGCTGGGTCCCAGGCGGGCGCCGCCGAACCGCTCGCCGGTACCAGCAGGAGCAGGAGCCGGAGCCCGAGAGCCCCCATCATCGCTGGGCCACCAGCGGGGCGGGAGGCCTATCCCGGCATGCACCGGGCCCCGGACCGGAAGGGGCGCTCTAGGGGGGAAAGGGCACCATAGAGGCGGAAGGAGCGCGAGCGAGCGCGGCGTCACTCCCACAATGCCCCGCACAATGGGGCCGCCGGGGCCTGAGCCGGAGCCGAGCCTGGCGGGGCCCGGGGGAACGGGGTGAGTGCGGGGACGTGGGGAGCCCCGGGGCAGGGGGAGGAGCCTGCCAAGCCCCGCCCCCCCGCGAGCGGCCATCTCCCCGCGGCAGCCGGCCGAGGGGCGCGCCTGAGGGGGCTCTGGCGGACGGGGACCCCCGCGCGAGGAGCCGGTGCCGCCTCATGCCCCTCGCCCGGCGAGCCCGGGCCGCGGCTGGGCAGAGAGTTGCGTAGCCCCGACCCCTTCCCTGCCCCTGGGCGGCGCGAGAGACCCGCCAGCGTGCGGCGAGCCCGGCCGGGGAGAATCCGCCTCCGCGCCGCTCGGGGGAGGCTCCCCTGGCCCCGCTCCGCCGGGGCTCGCTCCGCACGGGGTGGGCCGGGGCTCCCGGCTGCAGGGACGGCAGAGAGCGCCTGACTTCTGGAGCCCGACCTACGCCCGAGCCCCGCTGCTCAGCGGGTAGCCCAGTGCCCCCTGCAGCCTACAGGCACATGCCCCGCGCCAGGGGCCAGGCTTCCTCTCCAGCTCGCTCGTGGGGCTGCGTGTGCGAGCTCAAACCGGGGAATCGGGTTCGCCCCCCTCCCCCCCCAGTTCTGCTCTGGCCACTATGGGGATTGTCTCCCAGACGTTGTGCCCGCGATTCAAAAGGAGCCAATGATGATTTCCAGGCTGGTTGGCCTGACATCAGTCCGGGACACTAACACGGGGCAGGCGATGGAACTGACAAAGAACAGGACTATAATTAAATGCCAGTCAACATTCAACATGGTTTTATGGGGCACTGGTCTTGTCAAAGTTGATGACATTCTTTGGGAGGAGGGAGTTTGGTTGATAAAGGTAACTAGGTAGGCCAGGGGAGTGAGGTAATTATTAATAAAGATGGAATATATGCAGAGTTTTGTAAGGCATTTGACTTATGACTGCATGACATTTCGATTTAAAAAAAAAGCACTATACAAGATCAGTAAAGCACATGTTAAATGGATTAAGAACTGACAGATTCATGGTATTTGTCAATGAGGAATTATCAACTAGAGGTGTTTTTAATGGGGTTCTGTAGTGATCGGTACTAGGTCCAATGCTATTCAACATTTTCATCTATGATGTGGAAGTGACTACTAAATTACTGCTGATAAAATTTTCTAACAACACAAAAATTGGTGGAGTGGTAAATCAGGAGGAAGATGGGGCTGTCACACTGCAATCTGGATTGGTTGGTAAACTGGCCCCATTTCAATAAACTATGTTTTTTTTAATACAGCCAGCGTAAAGTATACATTTAGGAACAAGGAATGCAGGTCATACCTACAGAATGGGTGGGGGAGGGGAACTGTGTCCTGGAAAGCAGTGACTGAAAAGGATTGGGGGGTGATAGTGGACAAGCAAACAACATAAGCCCTGCTGTGATACTGTGGCAAAAAGGGCTAATGCATTCCTTTGATGTATAAACAAGGTATAATGAATAGGAGTAAGGGGAGGCTATTCTACCTCTGTATACAGCATTAGTGAGACAGATACTAGAACCCTGCAGACAATTCCGGTGTGCACATTTTAAAAAGGATGTTGAATTAGAGAGGGTGCAGAAAAGAGCACAAAAATTATTCAAGAGCTGGAGAAAATGCTTTTGTGAGGGATTTAAAGAGCTCAGTCTGTTTAGCTTGTCAAAAAGAAGGTTGAAAATGACAATTATAGTGTGTAAGTATCTTCACGAGGATAAAATAATGGGACACCTGCCAACCAGTAGCTGACATGAAATTTGGGATTCCTGAACACGCTGGGGAAAGAGGAGAGGGGACCAGCACATTGCTAATGGATTTTAGAGCTGGGGTACCTTAGGTTCTTTTTTATCCTCTAATAGGTGTCTGGTAAAGTTTTCAAGCTATATAAAAACAAATTCTCTTTCTTAGTATGACTTCAAAACATCATGCTTATAGATGCTAATTCTCCTGGAGTCCTCCCATCCCCACTATTTTCCATTCTGTCTGAAGGAACCATTTGTAGTGTCATGGTTTCATCCTGTATCCAGGGCCAGTTCTTCTCATCTATTTATAATCTTCATTGGGGCTCTGTCTTAACAGAAGGATTGGTTCTTTCCCTTCCTGACTGCAGATCTGGCCCACATCTGGCACGGCTGTTGATGTGTGGGTACAAAGTTCTTCCCTCATATGCAATCATTGAGAAGGGGTTGGAGAGTTTGATGCTATTTTAAGAAGAGTTTCTCATGCTGCTAAATTTAAAGGAGGAGGATATACTCCACGGTGACTTTGGTAAAAACAGTCATTCAAGTTAACCCTTTCCTGCCAGGTGAGGTTGTGGAGATGTACAGGAAACAGTGTGACGGCAAAACAGGGGACAGATTGGAGTCAAATCTCAGGAGCCTCTTACTAGAGCTGTAGTGAGAAATCAATATGAGTTTTAATCTACTAGCAGAAACCCTCCAAAAGGAAACAGAAAATCCATAAGGATACTACCAAATGTGTAGTTTTGCTGAAAAGCAGATGCTTTAATTGCCCATGATGATGTATAAGATCAGGTCAGACAGTAAAAAGGGAGCTGTCTGTCATTACAGCAGGCTTGTTGATCCAGATAGCCAGGAACAAGTCCACGTATGGTGGAAAGAAAATTCTAAGACTAGTCAAACTCTGAAACAGAGGCAGCCTACATTAGCCTCCCTCAGAGGGTCATATGTGCTTGTCTTATTGACCCATTTAGAGGAACTCATATTTGCTCCACAGGAGCTACTTCTGTCAGCTCACCCAACTCTAGGCAACTGTAGAATACCAAAAAAAAAATAATTGAGACTTGTGGAATTTCTGTGACAGATGCAAGAAGGGAAGCCCAGCAAAGCGTAAGAGCAAATCAAAAGAGTGAAATAGATGAAGAAAGGGACTAGGATGAGGAGCGGATGTTATCTTTAAGAAGCAGATGAGAAAAAGGTGACAAGCTTACAGGAGTAGAGGCATGACCAGCCAATATGTTCAGAGGAAATGAATACATCAGGCAGCAATGACTTTTAATACAGTAGTTTAAGTTATGTGATCAGATGATTCAAGGACTGGAAGGGACCTCGAGAGGTCATCGAGTCCAGTCCCCTGCCCGCATGGCAGGACCAAATACTGTCTAGACCATCCCTGATAATGGTTATTGTGTGGGAAAGTTCTAACCCTCAGCGCATTTTATTCATAAAAAATTAGTACAAGTGCCTTTAGGACCCCCCTGAGATTAAGGAAGGAAGAGGACTGGTGAGAAGATGACCTGAGACTGGAGAAGAACTTTCTCTCTTTCCTTGGCAGCCCTCTGTGCTAAGAATGCTCCAGCCTGTTAGGAACATTTCTCCTCACGGCATGGATGATTGGGTAGCAGGGTTAATCTCACATCCAGATTTTACCCGAGTGGAAGCATTCTCAAACCAATCCCTTGTACCAGGCCATGTTGTATTGTGTTTATTTAGAACAAAATGTAATCCAGGGAAACAGGAGAAATTCTTATGTCAGTGGGCCAGCATAATCAGTGGCTTCATACAGGCTGTTACTAAGGTATATTTGTACCCGTTCGGGTGAACAGCTAGAACGATGCAGTACCCTTACCCCACCTGTTCTGTTGTTTCAGATGAAGATTTCCTGCTGTTAAAGTCATATCATTGCAAAGGTTCCAGCTCTACCTGGACAGCGTAACAGCAAGTCGCCCACAGGTATGAGTTCTGCTTAACATGGCCCTGTTCCACTAGGCCTGCCATGACGGCATTTTTTACCAGTGTTCCTACCTGGATTCAAGATGCAAAGCAGGAGGAGGAGGAGACAGGCTGGAAATTAGTCCCCAGGCAAAGGGGTCGAGAGGCCGAAAGTCAAGGCAAGTGCCAATGTGAAATTTCTGGGACCTCCTTTACCAATGTGGACAAGCTGAGAACTCACACATTCGCTCATACGGAGCAGAGACCTTACAACTGCCCTCAGCTGCACTGTGGAAAGGCCTTTGCATCCAAGTACAAGCTCTATAGGTAGGTGACTATGCTGAGTGCCTCTAATTAACAGTTCTCTCCCCTCATAGGACAGGGAGAATCCCACTACACTGGGGTTTTGTTATATCTAGTGGCAGGGTGGAGGAGGGAAAATCCTTGTTACTTTGCAAGTAGTTAAGTTCCAGGTGTTACCGAATTTCTTTAGCCCCTTCCATCTGAAGACCTCACATTACTTTAAAACTTAAGGCCCAGGATAAGTATTTTCTGTTTTATTGATGAAGATATTGAGGCACACAAGTTAATCTTACAAAGCAAATGGTAGAAGGCCAAGAATCCTTGTCCTATGCTTTAATCACAGAGACCATTTCTGCCACACTTAGTAGCCAGCCTTCAAGAGCCAGACTTTGGTGCTGAAGAATGGGATGGGATCATTAAATTTGCTAAATAAGTTCACTATGAAGATAGGCTGGATGGATCAAGGTTTTTGAGAGGGTAAAGAAAATTCCATCTGTAAGTTTCAAGTAAGAATTCAGCCCAAATTGGTAGTGACAAAAGGTTACCACCCTCTGTTGGCTGCTGCTGAAATGCACTGCTGGTCTCACTCCAGTCCCCAATAGGCAAGTGTCCAACACAAAAACTACCAAAGTTGGCACTAGCTAGTTACCCTGGTTGGCAGGCTCAGTAGAGAAGGCAAGAACTGAATGGAAGACCAAAGTATACTTGTGTAGATGTGATGCCTTCGGTCAGGACTGAAGCAACGTAGAAAGGGCATTGTGAGAGAAGTTTGAAATGCTACTGACCATGATCCTTTACTGGTTTTGGGGATGGAGGACTTGTGCTTGTAGGGCTGTCAATACAACCACTTTAAAAAGCACTAAAATTTCACACAAGATTTTAAACAAAAAAAAAGTTTTGAGGGAGTAGGGGGGGAGAGCTTGCAAAAGCAGCACTTACTGTGCTGTGGGTTGAACACTACCCTAACTTTCCTTCTCCATTTTCCTCACACAAGGCACATGGCCACACACTCTGCCCAGAAGCCTCACCAGTGTATGTACTGTGAGAAAATGTTCCACCGGAAGGATCATCTCCGCAATCACCTGCAGACTCATGACCCCAACAAGGAAGCCCTCCACTGCCCTGAATGTGGCAAGAACTACAACACCAAACTAGGCTTCAGGCGACACCTGGCTATGCATGCAGCTGCCAGTGGTGATCTGAGCTGCAAAGTGTGCCTGCAGACCTTTGAGAGCACGCAGGTCCTCCTGGAACACCTCAAGGCTCATTCCAGGAGGGCATCTGGTGGAACAAAGGAAAAGAAGCACCCCTGTGATCACTGTGACAGACGCTTCTACACACGTAAAGATGTGCGGAGACACCTCGTGGTGCACACAGGGCGGAAGGACTTCCTGTGCCAGTATTGTGCTCAGAGGTTTGGGCGGAAGGACCACCTGACCAGGCACATGAAGAAGAGCCACTCCCAAGAATTGCTGAAGATCAAGACAGAGCCAGTTGATATGTTGGGTCTCCTAAGCTGCAGCTCAACTGTAGCAGTGAAAGAAGAGTTGAGTCCAGTTTTATGTATGGCATCCAGAGACATGATGAGTGGTAAGAGCTTTCCTGGCATGCTGCCTATGGGCATGTACAGTACACACCTCCAAGCTATGCCAAGCTCAGGGATGCCCCATTCTTTGGTTTCCAACTCTCTTCCAATGGGAATGAGTTATCCTCTGGAATCTTCTCCTATCTCCTCCCCACCACAACCTCCTCCGAAGTACCAGCTCGGATCTACCTCATATTTACCTGAGAAACTACCCAAAGCAGAGGTGGAGAGCTTTCTGTCAGAGCTTCCTGGCAGTCTGTCTCTCTCATCTGGTGAGCCTCAGTCCTCCTCACCTCAGCCAGTAACTCTGGACGAGACTCTGCTTTCCAAGAGCCCTGCTAACCTTTCAGAGGCTCTCTGTGCTGCTAACATGGACTTTTCTCATCTTCTGGGCTTCCTCCCCCTGAATCTTCCTCCATGTAACCCACCTGTGTCAACAGGGGGGCTGGTCATGGGCTACTCACAGGGGGAAACCCAGCCATTGCTTACCACTTTGCAACCTCAACCTCAAGAATCTCCCGGAGCTGGAGGCTCCCTGAACTTTGGTCCCCTTCATTCATTACCCCCTGTCTTCACCTCCAACTTGAGCACAACCACCCTGCCACGTTTCCACCAGGCATTCCAATAAGATGACTGTGGCACTGGTGAGCGGATCTTCCGCTAATACTTGCTCGGAGAGCCTTAAAAATGCACAACTCTTGTACTTCTCTGCTGGGATGTGAAAGCTTTTGAAAGCTGTTTCAGACAGGACGATTCTGGTGTCTGGAGGGAGCACTTGTAGACTGGAACAGCAGATATCCCTGTGCATGTCCCAGTCCTCAATAGTGAAAAGGTTTCAGCTGTATTTTTTTTTTTTTTTCTATTTTTTAAATCTGTGAATCGGGAGCCACACTTAGCACTGAGGTTTTGGAGCCTTGTTCCTCTTTGGGAAGGGATTGAATCTGAGGAGCTGGGGCTGTTTCAGCATGGGCAGACTTGGACTAACCTTTTGAAGAGTCCAACTTCCATTTTTATGTTACCACATTGCAATCCTGGCATTACAACCAGTACTTGCAGGTGAATCAGGAGGAGGGGGAAGTCTAGAGACCTATCCCATATGGCGCAGACAGGGGAAGAGCTGTCCTTCCCCATTACCTATACAGCTTATGCCATTTTGCATCAGTGTTAAGCAATAATGATAGCATCAACACAATGGATGGAGACCACCTCATTTCTTTTTGCAGAGCCATCAGATTAGGCTCATTCCAGTGAATTTTTTTTTTTTTTTTTTTAAACCACAACAGGAGTCTCTTTCTATCATTACAAAAATAGGAGGCACCAGTGTACATTGGTTTTGTATCTGGTGTAGCTAGAATACTGTTTACACAATGAAGTCAGGTTGCACTGATTTCTCCTCTTCACTTGTCACATTTTTCCCCCATGGGGAAAATAAACTGACTTGGACTACTTCAGCCTCTGCCATTTTAAATGGTAGTTCTTTGCACATTCCCTTTGACTTCCCATATGCGTCAGAGGGGGATGGAGCAACTTGGACATCTGGCTCACTTTTGTGGTGTATGAAGTGCGCCCTTTCAAAAACACCACAACCACACAGATTCTGCCTCTATATTGGAAACCAAAGCATGTGAAAAAGCAGTTTAGAGCTAGTAGTTGGCAGCATCAAGTGCTATCGTACAGGAGACCCAGGTTTGGGAGTGATCTCTGGGCTTCTGCTCCATAGGTTAGACATGGATATGAAGGACAGGGTATGAGCTGACATCTTTTCTGCCACCAGTTTGCCAGGGTCAGTGACCTCCTGGCTGATCCACAATGCAGTGTCAAGAGACATATTTTGACCTCCACAGTGGAGTGATAGCATGCAGGAGTCAGGAGAAAACAAAACTGGCCCTAGTTTTGTTTACACTTAGTCACTGTATTTGAACTGTTTCCCCAACACTAATTGTCCTAACAATAGCTGAGGTCTCTGGGATTATAGTCCCTCTTCCTCTCCTCTAGCCTGGAGTTGTGGGCCTTTTTTATTCCTCCTTTCTCCTGCCATACCCCCTGAACCCTGGGTTCCACTTCCCTTGCTCCCCATCATCTGCAGCCCTTGAGTTCTCCTTTGTGGAATCTCCACCTACTGATAGCAAAAAGCTTAAACTTTTAAGGGTCAGCTCCGCATAGTCTCCTGTTCACATCATGCTCGGTAGCCCATAATCTTGGGTATGTTAAATCCAGCTATGTTTTAATGCACATCTACGAACACAGACATGCAGCTTTTCATACCTCAGCATGTAGGAGCATAACAGGCTAAGATAACCCAGGGAGTTTATCAACATCTCTTTACAAGCCCCAAAAACAGAGATCTACCTCTGTCCTGTTATCTTAACTCCGTAAATGAAGTCAGTTACTGTCCCCCGCATTCGCTTCTTTCCCAAGAACATGTCCGCCTCCCTCTTCACTTCAGCTGACATTTTTTTGCTTCTATCTTCCGCCATTTGTCTCAAACCCACAGCATGCAAGTAGTTCTGTTTCATTTGCTCATATACCTGGCTCTTCCTCCACTTTACTCAAGGATTTCCTATAATGTTTTAGTAATGTCTTCCTAACCCCAACTGGTGAACCAGCTAGACCTTGTCATTTAAGTTTAGCCAGTGAAACTGCAAATACTACTTTCGTTCATATCAGTGTACGTTTTTACCTCAGCAATATCCTGTGAAAATGAGTTCCCCGGATTAAAAGTAGTACTTCCTTTTATCCATTTTCAAATGTTGCCTTTCAAATTTCAGCAAGTGCCTTCTTTTAATTTGAAAAGGTAAATAGGGGGATCTCAGCTGGTCTTCTCTTAACCATTCATTATTTTTAAATACCTCAGTCATGTCTCCTATTTTTCTCTTTCCAAATTAGTTTAACAATTTCACCTTCTTAAGTCTGATTCCTGTCTTTATATATTTTTTTTAAACAAAAGCAAAAACGGAAGAAAACTTCAGAGAGGTGATCAGAACAAAGCATTATTTGGATTTATGCAGTGCCATCATAATTTTTCCTCACCTCTATATTTGTAACATCTGATTCTCTTTTGGGGGTTTTTTTTGCCTTCATTGTGCTTTGAGAAGAGATTTTCACTGAAATATCTTCACTGGTAGCCAAGTCTACAGCCAGGCAAATGCCTCCATTTTCTACAAATTCTCTCTCTCTCTCTCTCTCTCTCTCTCTCTCTCAAAGAATCAATGGAATTCACTTCACTAGGTTTTGCACCACTTGGTTTGCTTTCCATGGCTATTCCAGCAAGCACGTTTAAAAGGATGTTCATATATAAAATGATTAACCAACATTAGGGAATAGATTAATGGAAAGCAACTGTTTACACTGGGAACTTGATGCAAAGATTCATCCTGACCCATAACAGGTCCTGTTGAGTTCAATGGATATAGGATCAGACACTTAAGTATGCAGATAAGATTAAAATCTTAAGTGTTGTAAATACCATTGTGGACACAGAAATAATGCAAAAGAGATCTAGAGAGATAGGAAATAACTAAATGAGATTCATGCAGGACAAATGCAAGTTAAAACATCTTGGGGGAAATAAAGAATTGGAGAGGAGATATTTGGAAAGCAATATTGTGAAAAAGACTAAAGGGGTGATAGAGGACAGCAAGTTAGATGTATGTTTACAATGAAATGTGACAACAAAAAAGCCCTGTGGGATTTTAGACTGGATAAAGCAAAGCAATTCATAAGAGGAATCAATTTCTATAACTGGTAAGACCTCATCTGTAATAATTATATTGGCATGTACGTAGTGGTTTACATCCCTATGTCTCCTACCACTTACAACTGAATATCATTTGCTCCATATATAAAATAGGGATAATGAGACAGAGGTTAAAGTCAACATCAAAAGTTCAGAAGTGCCTTTTAAGAATCTATATTTGGCTTGCTCAGTGGTAGAACCCATGAATCAACTTCTTGACTCCAGCCCTGCACCATGCCTGATCATGCTGGGTCCTAGAATATTGTATGTTTATAGGCACCACTGTACCAGAAGGGCATAGACAAATTGAATTTCAGAGGAAAGCAATTAAAATGGCTAAGTGGCTGGAGGGGCTCACTTTAAAAAGAAATTAATAGAAATAGACACCATGTAATGACCCTCAAATTTAAAGACCCAGGAGAGAGAGGGGAATTAGTGAGGGTAGTACAAGGAGGATAAGAAGGTTAAATAAATAAAAGGGAAAGTTTAGGTTGACTAGCAAGAAGGATGTCAGTCTCCCAGTGGAAGTTAAGATGTTTCAGACTAGACTGGCTCAATTTTAGTAAACACAGTAAGGAATAACTCTGCACTGCCAAGGAGGTGGGCTTCCTGGTCCTTCCCAGGCTCAGATTTCTAGAACTGGGAGAATTCTCAGTCACTTAGATCTTTTTCCTGAGGGGTTACAGCTGGTTCAAGAACCCTTCTGTGTGCAGGTAGCGTAAATAGGAAGAAACAATGTCCATTACTTTGCATTTGTCTATGCTGAATTTCATCTGCCACCATGTTAGCCACTTACCTGGTTTTCCTAGGTCCTTCTTGAGTGCCTCATAATAGGGCCTGCTCTTTAACCTGAATAATGTTGGGAAATCGCCTCACTGTTCATCCTCTTTTCCAAGTTAAGTGGATTATAGATTTGATTACTTTTGTTTGGAAGCTTGGCTTTTTGTTCTTTTAATTCCTTCAGCACTGACAGGTGAACAGCAGCTCTCTAGGTGACTTATTGTAATTCATGCTGGAGTTTCCCCATTGCTGCTTCACCTTCACTGCCTGGAAAAAAAAAAATCCTGCAAAGGGCATTTCCCATTGTTTTCAGTGATGAAGACTGGTGGAAAAAAATCATTTAAGATGCTTTCCCAGTCTTCCTACACTCTGGTCATCCCTTTTACTCTCTCCCAGACCCACTGATTCTTTCATGGGCTGCCTCTTTGTAGTTAATTGCTCTTCAGGTTCCCCCGTAGCCACATTTTGATGATAATTTTCAGTTGATCCAGAGTGTAGGTGGTTTTCTTCTCCGTAATGATCTCCGTAATTATGCCCATAGTCCACAATTGTCACCACAGACAGCAACAGCCAAAGTCTCTTTAAATTACGACAGTTATTAGACTTATTGGGCTTGCATACACAAATCCCACACCAATCAGACACCTAGTATCCAGAATGTTCTATGCTAGGAACAGATCACTGTACAAATTGATTAATCTCCTTAAAACACTATAAATGCACTTCTCCCACAAAAACAGAGTAGAACCTGCTTATAGTGAAATGGTTTGCACAGAACTGTATCATTAAAAAGGTCTTTCTATCCTAGCTGGTCAATATTTCTTCATCTCTGCTCCTACAGCCACTTGTATCATTTTAATCCCCTCTGATGTATATTTTAATCTTCGCAATGAGAAGGCTGATACCTGGGATTGTGAATATGGCTCATTTGATTTTTATACTGTGCTGAGAGGCAGTGTTGCCTAGTGGATAGAGCACTGGATCAGGACTCTGGAGACCTGAGTTGTTTGCAGATCTGCCACTGGCCTGCTGGGTGACCACATGCAAATCATTTCTCTCTTTTTCTCAGTTCCCTTATCTGTAAAATGGGTATAAAGATGATACTTCCCTCCTTTGTAAAGTGCTTTGAAATCAATAGATGAAAAAGCACTAGTTCAGAGATATGTCAGTAATAATGCCTAAGAGTTCTTTCCTTTCACAGGACACCTTTGTTTCCAGTCCTGGACCTGTTTTTCCAGTGTTAATAGATCTGTCCCAGGTTCTCACTATACTGCCCAATAATGAATTTGTTTGTGTACCTTAAATCTATAGAGATTGACTTCCATTTCCTCATCTTCTTCTGGGCTTCCTTTATTCTTTGAGGATGCCAGCAGATTACAAACCAGAACCTTTGTTTACAATCCAACCGTACTCTGTGTCGCACTGTTTTAGCATGAGTCTCATTCCATCGGCCTCAGCAAAGGCGAGAGCTCTTACCTACCAAGGCAGTTTGTTAATGTACAACCATCCGATCTAAATACCCAGAGCCATCTCTTCCCCACAGTTTCATAGACTGCTTCTTATTAGACACTTCCTCTCGTCTCTGTAAAAGCAGGTTCAGCAAAACCCTTTGAGTTGATCACCAAGAATATTAGACCTTCAAAATGGAGAACACACAAGAACTTACCACTTTACTTTCAATTGGAAAACTAAAAAAAAAATCCACATTTTGCTTCCTGTGTTACTAATAGGGTCCTGGAAA